TATATATTTGTTGGGAAAATTGTATTTCATTTTTGTTATTATTTTTTAAATTTTAAATTAGCTGGAATGTTTTGCCTTAATTCATCTGTTTTAGTCCTTCAGATATGTTGGGGTAACAACTCTCAGAATTTCCATGTGGCTATCCATGATATCTGGGTAACTAGAAGTTTGGGAAAGACTACAGTAGTTTTTGAATTAATAAAGTTTCTCCTGTTTTCCAGATTTATGGAAGATCTAAAAGATATGCTTGGCTTTTCTCCAAATCAGTTCTATTATTATACATGGAAATATATCTCCCCTATTGTTTTATTGTCTCTGCTGGTAGCAAGTATTATCCAAATGGTATTAAGCCCCCCTAGTTACAGTGCATGGATTGAAGACAAGGTGAGTGATGCTTAAAAGAAAGAAAGATAAAAAGAAAGGACATGGAACATTAGTTATTTAATGGTCTATGTATAAACGATAGATGATATAATAAGTGTATATTATAGCAATTTCAAGTTACTATGTATGTCTCAAAAGACCATATCTAACAGCTTATAATACCCAACAGAATATGAGACAACATATTTCCTCAGTGAGAATCAACAATGTGACCTTAAGTCCTTAGAAGTGTCCTCTGGGCAGGAAGGCAAGATATAAGTTGTAGATTATGATGATGATGACGATGATGACAACAACTGTAATAATCTCTTACTAAGATGAATTGGATGGGGCAGATATGTTCTACTGTCAGTAGACAAAACTTCCACTCCATTATATTTACAGATGTGTGCGGCAGGAGCTAAACACCATTCAGTTCTCCATGAGGTCACAAGACAATGCTTTTTGACTTTATAATATTCGGAATGGCCCCAGACAGCATGAAACATTTTTTGGGTTAGTCAGAAAGTTGTTTCCTTCCTTGGATTAATTTGTGATTGAACACATAGTATATGACTAAAGCAGTAGCCAGTCATCACACATTGCCCTCTTATTAAGTCTTAGTAAATTTAGTCTTAGTAAATAGATATAGTTCAGGGGTTCTCTGAACTCTCTTTAGAGTTCTTCGAAATTGGATCATAGAGTAGCCTTGAACAAAAACAAGAAATGTATTCAAATTGGAATTTAGCATTACTGTCAGCTTCGTTGAAAGGGAGTCACAGTATCATTGCATCCCCACTTCTTACTCTATGTAATAAGGTAAGCTATTCAGGCCAACCCCATGTTTAAGTGAAGCATGAGAGATCTCTAGCTAGTAGGACCAGTCTAACCCATGAGGCATTCTTACTCAGCCATAAATGCTTCTTTTGAAATCCTCCCCACTTCCAAAGCCTTGGCCCATGTCTCCTTCCCAGTTAACTGCCATTTCTTGGGCTTCACTTCACCTCACCTTTTCCATCATAAAAAGTTAAGGGGCATCATGTTGCTCCCTAGCTTTGGGATTAAGCCATGTATAAAATGGTAGTTGAAGAAAGAAGGCAATGTAAGTGTTGACTTATCTTGGAAATATGTGCTAATGATATTCCTGATACTTCTTTTGGACATGCAGGCAAGCAAGGAGTTTCAGAACTACCCAACATGGGGACTGATTGTTTGCATCTCTCTAATTGTTTTGGCAATGCTCCCTGTCCCAGTTGTCTACTTGATTCGCCGCTGCAATCTTATTGATGACAGTTCAGGTAGTTTGGCAGCTGTTTCCTATAAAAGAGGGCACATTATCAAGGAACCAGTGAATCTTGAGGGAGATGATGCCAGCCTGATCCATGGAAAGAGTCCAAGTGAGGTGCCATTTCCAACATTTGGCAAAAACATTTACCGAAAACAGTCTGGCTCTCCAGCAGTGGATACTGCCCCCAACGGTCGCTATGGTATTGGCTACATAATGGCAAACATGTCAGATATGCCAGAGTCTGATTTGTAGCTGCTGAGCAGTATTGATGTCTCTGCTTCTATTAAGCTACTGAACATTTGTTCTCTTAAGAGAAGTGATCAACTTCCCTTACTAGAGTGCAATCTCAGGTGCCCCATGACTGCGTCCTTCAAAACATTGTGACATGTGGTACAGAAAGCTTGAAAAATTCCCTTTGGCTTGATTTTCTGGTTTCCATTTGTACTGAAGGGAATGCACATAATATCAATTAGTGATGGCCTAGCTTTGTCAAAAATTGCCAATTTTTAGAACAAAATTATTTTTGCATTTAATTTGAAATTTTTCTATCTTTAAAGTACAGGTGTTACCTCAGTTTGTAGCAATTTTTTAAGTGAATTCATATTTCTCTACTGCTGTAATTGGAAAATCCTCCTTTGTTCCTGCAATTTAAGTCCCTTCTGTGTATTGGAAAAATTAGTTCCAAAGAATTCACCAAGCCTGTATTTACTGCACTTATTTGTACATATGTTTTGTAGATACCCTATACTTTTTTTAAGCGATCACAGTTGCTTAGGCTACTTGCTGAGTTTTGAAAAAAGGAAACAACATTTAAAGCCCTGCAGATTATTTTCTTACTCGTAATAGCTGTAGTATTAGAATACCAAGTATGATTATGCTGGAAACAGAATTCCTCAGTCTCTGGGGAACTGCATATGATGTGGCTGTATTTTACATCCTGTATTTGGTTTTTCAGTGTGAAAATTATATAAACGCGAGTCACTCTGAGACTCTTACAAGACTGTGCAGATTCTGCATTTTTCTAAGCTGTGTGCCTAAAATAAACAAAAAAACCCTCTTCCTAATATTTATTGTGGTTACAAGATTACATATATTATATTTATATATAATATACTTGTAATGTACATATGTATAGTAATAATGTATGTAACTGCTTCAAACTTTGAAGCAAGATGGCTTTTTAAAAAGTATGTTTTGCTTCTGTTTTCATGCAAAGAGGGAGCCTCCTCATCCCAGTCAGTAATAAATAAGAACTGTATGCCATTGCATTTAAACTAGGAATAAAAGATTGGAAAAATGATTGCTTTGTGTTTTCTGTAATGTTGCTACATTGTGTGTCTCAAAAGAATCATAAGATGAGGAAGACTGAAAGAAACATTGTAACCTTGAAAAAACATGCCCCCATGTTTCAGGGCCATGTATTCCCATGCTGTCCCCATCGGAAGGACTATAGCTGCTATATTCTTCAGCTAACATCACTAATTGGTATATTAATGGGAGATAATGGGTAGTTGCAATCCATCATATCTTGAAGTTGCCAAGTAAGTCCCTTCTGTGTATTGGAAAAATCAGTTCCAAAGAATTCACCAAGCCGGTATTTAATGCACTTATTTGTACATATGTTGTGTAAATACCCTGTACTTTTTTTTAAGTGATCACAGTTGCTTAGGCTACTTGCTGAGTTTTTTAAAAAAGGAAACAACATTTAAAGCCCTGCAGATTATTTTCTTATTCGTAATAGCTGTAGTATTAGAATACCAAGTATGATTATGCTGGAAGCTGATACAATCATACATTCTGTAGAGTAATCGAAATGGTATTCCTCTGACTGATTTCATGTTACCAGCTCATTTTTTCTGCTGCTCTTCTATGAAAGATTCTGGGCATACCTCTTAAGAACTTGTAAACAGGCATAGAACACTTGAAATTATTATTTATTTACTGTCATTACTGGAAAATGTGTGGAGAAGATTATAAAAACATAATATTAAGTAATATTTTTCTCAGGGAACAGAGAACAGGATGGCTTAATATAAGAAGACATAAAACATGCTTTTTATAATAGCCAGTTGTAGGATTTGTTACCCCAAAATGGAGTTCTGCTTGAGACAGCAGAAGTTGTGAAGCAACTGAGAGGTTGGATGAAAGATCTCCTGAAACCTTTATTCCTCCTCTTGTATGGTTTATACACATGTCATGCATTCAAGGTGTAAATGTGTCTGTATAAATAAGGATGTAATATTAATTCATTCCTTTCAGAATTACCGTCCTACAGCTCTTCAGAAGTCTTAGGGAACAGGTCATTCTAAACAGTGTTACAGGGCTGATCCAGGAGAACTACTGGACCTTTTAGCCACAATAATATCAGGCCAAGACTTGCCTAGTAATCCCAAATACAATTAACCATGGAGACCAACTGGATGCCTCAGACTGCCATATGTGAGCTGCAGAAATCCAAATGACCATTAGATGGCTGCAAAGAGAAGCAGGAACTCTCATTTGTCATTGCCATCTAGTAATCATCTAGACTTTTGCTGGTAGTCCTATTAAAGCAGGGCACAAGGGCAATAGCTTCCCAAGATTAGCATTCAGAGATAGGCTATCCAGATTATGGAGACAATATATACCCTTTATCACTGCTATTCATTGACAGCTTTACCCACTTGGACTGCGTGTCTATTATGGTCACCACCATCACCACAATTTATTGGAATTCCTTTTGTAATTCCAATAGTTCTTTCTGTGAAGAGTTCTTCCATTTGTCTATACTGAATTTGTACTATTCAGCATGATTCAGTGGCTGCGTCCAGGCAGGGTTTCTTTTGGACCATCACCCTGCCTCATTTGTCATGTTTTAGAGGAGTCCAAATAATAACTGCCATTTATAACTTTCATCTTTTTTCTTATCAGAACAAAAGTCTGCTAGGGAGGAAAACATAGAATAGCTGTAGGTTGTCTTAGAATTGGTGATGCTAGGAGCCATTCAGTTGAATGCTGCTGTTAATTCTACTTTTTAATATTATGAGAGAAGAGGAAGCTTTCCCTCTATTCTCTTTTGCTGCCTCTTATCCAAGAGACAGTTGCTAACAAAATGTATAAGTGCAAGGTAGAATATCTGTGATAATTAATTAACTGCTGTGAGAGACAAAATGCTAAAATAAGTTAGAATGATCCAACAAGATACATTCCTATGTAGCCATTTTTCAGGGGCTGCGTAGTGCCATAGCCAAAATACCTGAGCATAGGTTATCCCCTCCCTGTGGAATCTATATACTGAGACTGAACTTACACAAAGTGTGTGTGTGTGTGTGTGAGTGAGTGAGTGAGTGAGTGAGTGAGGGAGGATAAAGAAATTTGTTGATGCTGGGAATGGCAAAATGTTACAGATGGACATTCTGTTTGTATCATACTTCACGAAGGAGATACTTTAATGTACGCTTGTAAGTTTGCACAAAATCTGAAATTCTTAGACTATATGCAGATGACTTCATGTACAAATATTCATTTAACACTCCCCATTTTAGTCTTGCACTAGTTCATGTTGAATATAAATGGATGTGATTATTGGGATGGTGGAGACAAAGCTGTGTGTATCCTGATTTGGATTAGAAGACTGGTTGAAATTTTGCTTGGCTTAAACCCTGGGTAATAGTGAATTCTCCTGAGGTAGAATTCTTGCAGATAAAACTGGGATGGGAAAAAGGGAAAAAGAGGAGGGGGAATTAAATCTTAAACTTGGTGTAATTTGAGTAGTTCAACCTTCTGAACTAGAGTCAGACAAACTTCCATTGCACAAGGCCAGGGCCAATGGTTGTTCCTGATAGAATCTATTGTGAGTTTTCTTCCCTAGAGGAGTTAGCCTGTGGATCTAATGTTTAAAATACATCATTGCAGCAGTGGAGCAAACAGATTAAAGGCATGTGGGATGACAACAACAGACTAATATTGTGTATTTAGTGACATAGTGCTTAGCAAATTTATTTCTGGCATTTTTCTGTGAACACAGACTTTGATGATAACTTTTATAATTTATATGTGAGGCCATTTATGTAAATGGCAAGCAATAAGGAAAAGCACAAGAGAATAGAAGTTGGAACAGATCCAAAAGAATAAAGATATGAATAAAATCAAGAACCTATTTCAAACATGCTACAGGCTGAATCCAAACAAATCTGCAGGTGAAAAGAAATTCATGTGCTTTTTTGAACCTTTATTGAAGACAGAGTTTCCCACTTTTTTTAATTGCAGCTTGCCTATTTGCGGTGCCTTTTGGAATAAATGAAAGAATCTGAGTACCTGTGGTCATCAAACTTTGAGGGGATTCTTTTGTCCAGGCCACTGATCCTTGGAAGTTCACCTTTGAGAAGTTAATAGATAACCCATGACCCATTGGGTCATTGTTTCAGAGATATTTCCTCACCTAAACAGAGAAACAGAATGACCAAGGGCAAAAAAGCAGTGGGAGTGTGAGCAACTTACAACTTGCTGCCAGCTTCCCCATTGATTTCCTTGTGGGAAGCTGGCAGGGAGTGA